TGACCGAAGCGTCTAGAGCACTTACCGACTCGGTGCCCCTCGGATGATTGTGAATTCGAATCACGATCTTGCCATGAAAAATACTCCTTGTCCTTTTCTGTGAATCACATTTGCATTCTGCTGAGATTCGAATAGCTTGCAAAGGTTTGTAACTACTAGTTTTTTTGTTAAGATAAAACCATTGCGATGAATAAGGCAGCTGGGTTGGTCAAGGAAAAATATCGAACACAAAATGAATGCTGTTTTATATGATTTTTCGGTGTACATTGTGGTTTGACATTGATTTCCGGGCCACATGATCTATTAGAAAACGTCTATTCCTACGTGAGATTTAAACTCATAGCTTTGCGTTTTGTTGAATGTGTCTTCCAACTTAGGAATTTAGGTTGCTAGAACGGATAAGCCAGGTCGGTGATGTAATACTTTGATCACTGAGGCAAGCCGAGAATAAATGACAATCTAATAGGAAGAAAAATATTGCAAAGGCAAGTGTGTCATCGTTGCTAGATTTGAAAAATTTCCCACAATTTTATCTCTTTGTTTGACTTTTATTTATACCAATCTTCACTAACTACAGTGAACCTTGAAACAACTACTGCGCGTAAATTTAATTTTTTATCCATCTTCACCACATTTGTTGTCCATCAATGGGTAACTTCCCCTTCGTCGTCCACGGGATGTCGCCACGCGTACGCTATCCAAGGCAGTTGATGCCCCTCGAGCTCAATCATATGTCACACTTCTCCTCCGGCATTAGGAGCTCGGGCAATCGTACCTTCCTACCCTCAGAGATCCGAGTATTTGAGGTCGTCAGAGACAACTTTGTTCTTAAGGCCTTTTTTATTTGAGGTAAACATACACGCAGTTTCTCAAAAAATGACACAAAACTGCAGGGAGTATGCGGGGAGTATATGGGGTCGAATCGCTTTTTTCAATAAATGGGATGGGAAATCGATTATAACGAAGTTACAAATGAGGCTTTCCCCCTGATTGTTGGGCAAATGATCGTGCATTAATTTTAGCAGGTCACGTTATGACGCATTCAAAAAGATTTGTCTACTCGCCATATAATGATGCATTATGACCCTTCTAATCAGGAATAATTGTTACGCGTGTATCATTATATGAAATTTCTCTCCAGATCTTCATTGGCAAAAGGCATCAAAGTACCCCAGCATCCCCTAGAAGTTTGTTAATATGTATTTATCTGTTTGTCTGTGAAATTTATTCCGATACATTCTGTTGATGTGCTAACTCACCTTCTCACAAACAGTGTAGTGCTGAGGCATTCTGTCACGCTTGCGGGCGCCGTTGAACAGTCGCCGCGCAGCCACAGACCTTTGCGCCGCCGCGAGCGCCGCCACCTGAGCCAGCGGAGGAGAGACCATGCACGGCACTTCGAAAACGCAAAAGTTACGCATTGTTACGATTTTGGACAGATTCTAAAAAGAAGTCAGTCATCAGTTCATGATTTAGAGAAAGGATGTCGCGGATGTATGGGTTTCGTACAAAATCCTGGCATTGCATCATAGAGACTCTAATGATAGATTACACGGGTTGAAAAACTTGACTGTAACTACCTGGCTAATACTCCCGGTCAAAATTAGTTCGTTGCTGAGGTAGTAGCGCAGGGTTGGCGTCTTTACAACTTTAAATGTCAATTTAAAGTATTTCATATTTTTTTGTCTTCTGAAAGTGTGTAATAAAAATAAATTTTGTTTGGTCTGTTCTTTCGGTTTACGACCACGTACAATCTGCTAATATAGTTTGCGAAAAAAAACATCCAAACCCCACCTGAAGAACGTTGATGAGTTCTTTATTTGACGGTTTCGTTGTGACTGAAGTACCGGAACCTCGGAGCTTTGAAAAGGGAGGCACTTCATTCGTGCGTATACATTTTATTACGTAAACTGGACGATAACTGCGGTTCAAGTGAGGCGACTCTTCCCGGCTTGTTTTGCGGGTTCCTAATCTAACAGTCTGGCACTCAACCCAACCAACATCTTAACATTATTTCCTTTGTTAGTATATGACAACACTGTCAAGTAATTACAGGAAAACGGCTATAAAAATTACACGTATTTATACGAAATCACAGGCGTTTGTGCACCAGTGAGGGAGACACAGAGCCCCGGATCTCACGAAAGTTTTGAAAGGGGCGCCTTAGTTGTTCTAAATGAAACATTTTAATTCAGAAAATATGTTCAATTCCTGATGTTTCCCTATTTTAACCTCATAATTTCGAGAGTTCTTATACGTTTTTGGACGAGGTTCTTTCACCTTGCTGCAGTCTCTGCAAATGATTCAACGTAAAATGAATTGAATTTGTTATTTGTAGAATTAAAGTTATAATTTTATTCTTTCTATAAGTTTTATTTCTTTTTGAGTAAAATATGTCCCGTGTAAGTAAAAATGTTCAATGGAATCGAGGGCCGAGAAAATAAGTGTGCATTTGCAGGGGTGTGTATTATTGTAGTCGCGCGAGGCTTAAAACAAGACGGGAGGAGGTAGCTGAGGTGTTCTCTCTTGCCCTCGGGGGCCGTTGATCGAACGCGGAAAGATAGAAAAGAAGGAAAGTCATTGCAAGGCGACAGCCCTTCCCGCCGCCTTCGCTGCCACACAGCGGGGGAGACGGCGCGCTCACGGCGGGGCCAACTTGTCACCGTAAAAAAGTTTGGAGCGTCTTCGGGCGAGGCTATCCCGTCGCCGGAGAGACGGCGGAGGGGCGGGGGCGACCGCAGAGTTTTCGGGGCTTTCGCCGTCTGCGTTCGCCGCGTCCGACGAGACGTGTTTCAGTTTGATACTTCGCCCTGGAGGTGAGCCGCGGACACGTCGGCGGGACGTGTTAAGAGAACGGCTCGGTCAGACGGTCGGTGGGATTATAATGTACTGTGCTTTCTACCCGTTCCCGCCCATTTCTGCTCGTTCATGGTTTAGGGTAGTGCCTCCGAAATTGGGCGTACCTGTGTAACTTAGGTGAGCGTAATTAAAATGCACGGGGTTAACGGCTGAGAGTTAAAGTTTCAGATAAAACATGGGTGTTCTTAGCATGTGGATTTTGGCGTGTGGACGGTAGCCGATTTCCAACTGTAGTTCAACTCACTATATAGTTAGTTCCAATTGTGCCACTGTAGAGGAGAATACTAGTGGTCGACTGATCTGATCGATAGCTTTCAGTTTCTTCTCCGATCAATACCAGGTGAATGCTAACAAAAGAGATAAAAACTATGTCCAATCTTCCACATTCTTGCTACCCTTACACCCACACTTACACTCACTACACTACCACACATGTCGAGAGACCAACCGGGAGCTGGCCCCAGCTGTGCCGCTGCTCCACTGGTGGAGATTCCTGGTTTGAGGATCCACTAATTCGAAGTGTAAGACTGCAAATCATTTCTGTTCCACAGGAGAGGGTCACCGCCACCTTCGAGTATACAACATGCACTACACTTAAGGGACTAATAGTATTAGATGATGCGATAGAAATCTAGATACTCACTTGCGTGGGTGGATTCTCGCGTTAAAACAAATAACATTCCTCCCAACCATGAACATTCATATCTATTGTTCATCTCCTCTTCATGGCTGTCTCTATCTGGATTCTTCCAATTGAACCTTCTCTATGATTACGGGCCCAGAAAGGGCGCGAGCAAAGAGACATGAGCCTTCGCCTTGAACGTTTTTTAATTAGTGGTGCTAAACAGCTCATACTTTCTCGCGTTACTGGAAACTGCCACGTAATATTGATGTATTGCAGTTTTGCGCTACTAAAACCTCAGCTACAATTAATTGATAACGTCCAATTCAAACAAAGCGCCTGTGATGTTTATTTGCGTTTGATTTCATTGTATTGCATTTCGATAGTCAGAAGCCGCAATCATTTCTTACTGTGACTAATGAAACAAACAGGAATACACTTGACTGGTACAGTATTCGCACAAAATTATACAGAAAAGAGCAACGCATGGCTGTCACCGCAGCCTTGTCAAAACTATGTATACTTGTAGGATGATAATTTCAATACAGTAATTAGAATATATGCAAATTGACATCAAAATAATTACAAAAATTCTGGCTGCTCACTCGTGACGGACACCTGCTGCACTTAATAAAACAGCTATATCTTATTACCGCCGACATCTCGACGATCGATGATAATTAGCATCTAAATTATTCAAGCTGCATTGTTGGGATTCATTTGAACCAGAAATAACCTTAAACTACTATTTTTTTTTTTCAAAAAATTGTACATGACCTTATTTAAAGAGTTTATTTTATACAACAGATTTTGTCTGAGACAAAAATATCTATCTCCAATTTTGAAGTTTTAAAATTTTATTTCTCCAATGTTCCCATTCAACAACAAATTTCAATCAAAACATTTGGAGCAACTTTTTTGAAAATTTTGACAATGTCTCAGCTAGAACGATTTCGGAATATCTTTTATGGAGAAAATGGACTGAACGGCTTATGCGCTAGCGTTGTGCACAGATGAACAACGGACAGACAGACGCTCTGCCGGCAACCGATTTTTCGGTATGAAGGTTTCGCACAAAACATGGATTCTGCCTACACCATGTGTTAGGGGATTTTTTCTATATTTATCAACTGGATTTATCCAGTTTTTCCGTAACCGGGCCCGGCAAAAGAGCTTTTGTGTGGAAAATTCACCGTTTTCCCGCGCACGGCTACGTAACTTTCTCTTCTTACGTTAGTAAGTGCGAGGAAGTAAAAATGTTTGATTACTTTCTTGTTTATTAATAGAACATTTGAAAGTTTATTTACTTTGAATTTATTAGAGAATATGAATACCATATCAACAAATAAACAGAAATTACAACTACAACAACAAATGAATACAAATATCTGCTTGAAATTATCAGTAGAACCGCAGTAGTGCTACGTAGAGTGTACGTAGTCGGCCGGCAAAAGCTAAATGCAGCACCGGAATCATTTCTGTGTTTGTCAGCGAGGCGATTGCTTACACAGAGAGTTGATTATTTGCACTCTGTTCGGGTGTTCTTGTTCGCTGCGTTTCCAGCGCTGCTGCTTGGCAATCGCGCGCTTTCGGCAAATAATTGCACTTGCGATCGACATTCCGCCTTTCAGAGATGCCTCACCCCCTCCCTCTCTCATCAGGTTCTGTGTCTCCATGTCTCTCACGGCGCGTACTCTCTGTTTTCTCCCTTACTCTTTCTGGCGTGTACATGACCTGATTACTGTAGGAACTATTCCCTAATTGTTGCTGAACGCAGATTTAGGAATTAAGAAGAAACTGTCGTGTTTGCAATGGATAATCTGGTCTGTACACAGTGCAAATATTACGACATTCTTTCGCCATAGACACTACTTCACTATATATTCACATCGATATGTGTATAGTGAACATGTGTAATATTCTTTTTTCTCTTCCACTTCCTATCTCATTCTATCTGACTCACTCTCTCACCCTCTCACTGTTCCTATCTTCATCTGTACCTCTTCCTCTGTTTATATCTATCTCCCTTTCCCTGATCATTTTTCTGACCTCTCACTATCTGACTGATTGTCATTTCCTCTTTGCCTCTGTCTAGATTCCCTTTCTTCTTTTCCTCTCTCATTGTCCGACCGTCTGGTACTCCTCTCTACTGTACACCAATCAGTCCGACTCTCTCTCTCTCTCTCTCTCTCTCTGTCTCGCTGTTCATATCTTCCTCTGTTTATGTCCATCTCTCTCTCTCTTCTCTCTTTCTCGCTCTCTCGCTCCAGGGCTAAGCGGCGCCGTAACGAGCCGCCGTAAAGCGCACGCACGCACGCATTCACCGCACGTAACTCTCCTCTCCCACTCCCCTTTGATCCCATCCCACCCCTTCCCCTCCCAGTCCGTTCGTCCGCTCGCCCGTTTGCCCACTGCGCCGGCGCGGAGGTGAAGCGGCCGAGACACCTCTGCACCAGTGTACAGACATTCCCTGGGCGCGATCGCCTCGCTGTCTCTGGCTTATCAGGATTTATGAGAGGTTTTCTCGGCAAAGTGATGGGAAGTTTTGTTTTCTTCGAAAAAGCCGGGCCGGACAAGGCTTTTCAAAATACACAAATTAAGGCCTGTTATGTACAGGCTAGTGTTGTATAAATGTTACAAACTTCAAGGACATGAAGAGGGGTCGAAGATGCTCACGTTTAGCGAGTGAACGTGTGATGGGAAATCTCATATTACGTGAGTGACACTTCTGGCGTTAGACCCCGGAATGGTACGCAACTCGCCTTGCGCTGGTGTTTGCCCCACGAACTCGCAGGGGATGACTTGCTCATTGGCAGAGGCAGTAGTCAGTTTTTTTTGTCTTTATTGTTCTGCTTTGACTGCAGCATTTCGCGATCTGTCGGCCGTGAGGTGTTACGCTTGCGTGGTAACGGCGATGCCCGTTTAGACGCAGTCAATGCCAGTGGCAGGCAGTCCCGTGAGTATTCGTGCGCCTGCCAAACACCGGCGCGGGATGACATTCTTACTAAACAGGGGGAGATGTCAAATATGTCACATGTGTGACTTCATTAAATGAGATTTACCACCATAGGTTTATTACCCAAAAGTGATCATATTCGACACAAAACACGCTGACGTTTAATTTATGAATATTCAATAAAATATCGGATTAGATAAAATTAGATTAGAGAAAAAGTGAAAAATAAGAAACATCTATTGTACGTGATCAAATGTGATTATTCTTCCGGTAATAATTCGTAAATCACGAAGTCATATACGAACATATGACATAAAGACGTCAAGTCTGTCAAATACCCATCTATACGCTAATAACGATAAGACGCCCTTCAGTCTCACCATGAGGGAAGTCTTTGATATCAAGTGTTATTGCTGTGTCAAACTTCGTGATTCGTCCTAATGACTTCTTAAGAAACAATCGAACAAATTCGAAATAATCAAAAATGTTATCTTCAAAATAGCTATTTGAAGAAGTGAATAACAAGTGCATGTATATTCACATATTTACACGTTGGTTTTGAGTGGAGGCGTAAACTGTGTTAGCGGTGATCACTCCAAATAGGAAAATATCAATTAATTTAATAAAATTTTGGAGTAATTAAATACGTGTCAAAAAATGGATTATTTCAATGAAAATAGCTAGTTGCAGAACGGGGTTTAGAAGTCGTAAAAGCGGAAACATCTTTGTTGCTTTACATTGAAACTTGACTGTTTTCTCCTCTTTGATGAAAGTTGCAGAATTTAGGTCACATCTATGGATCTCTGTGGCCCACTCTCGAACCGAGAACTTGTGCTTATGAGTTTGGAATTGGAATTTGAAATAGTTTGAAACTGCGAAACACTAAACGTCAATAAAACTAGTTTGAAATATCACACTCACAGAATTTTAATCTAGTACGAGCTATGACATGAAAATTAAAGAATTATTTCACTTTCGAACCAACAAGAACTACATCTTTTTGTACCTGCTCTTGACTTTATATTCACATTGACTTTAGCTCGTCTATAACGACTTCTTTAGTCATGATGCAAGGATCACCTATATCGTTCGTACAGTGGCATTTTCCAACCACTGTGATCTACTCCCACCACGTACTTCACACATTAGCTAGAGCTGATGGTGTAGGAGAGCACGGAGAGACTGGCCAGGACAGGAATACGACTGGTTTTAATTAGACGTAGCGTCTTCT